AATGCTTGCCGTTCACTGGTATATCCCTGGGACCTAGATAATATTGATCACAGAGTAAGTACTCAGCAAATATTTGCTTCATGGTTGAACATCTCCGACATCTCCTGGCTGGACAGTTACTACAAGGAACTAACTGGTTTCCTTGGCTTCATTCCACTCCCTCTCAAAGCATCCCTTACCTTGAACCCAGTAATCTTCCTAAAATACAATCTCATCTTGTCACGCCCCCAAGAAAAAATCCTTTGATGACTTACCACGACTCCTCACAAAATACCGTCTGCCTTGACACTCATTTGAGATGCTCCATGATCAGGCTCAACCTACTTTTCCAGTCTGGTTTCCTCCTGTCTGGTACCTGCCCCCTACACATACTATTCAGACAGTACCAAACTTTGTTCCTGCTGCTCAGACTGGAACACCTTTCTCCTGGCTTTTATAAACAGTACAGGGCCTCACTTTGTTATTTTCATCTTTGAATCTAACCTGAATGTCTTAACCCCCAATGGGTGGTTACTGCCTCCTGCTCTGAACGGCCACTGCACTCATTTTCACCTCTAAGGTCATGCTCTATCTCTTGCAAATGTGTTTCCATGCTGGTCATCTTTGCCTTGCAATCAGAAAGTAAATGTCTTTAGATCAAAAATTGTAACTGAGTAGAAAGACAAATCCTAATAGGCCCAGGAAAACTGAAAAGGAAAGAGCTGGCATGTGTGCTTGCTTAACTAGCTAGAGAGGTAAGATAGAACCTGCCAAGTAGATAAGGGAGCAGGGGGAAGAAACCGGCAAAGGGCTGTGCCAGTCATGCCAACCCATCAGTCACCTTGGGGGCGGGGGATACAGGGTGTTGATGTGGGCCTCAGTAAATCTCCCTATTATTCTCACTGGAATTTTTAAAACATGTGGAAACTGCCATTTTTTTTTACTCTTTGTATATTCTGCAACTACTTCAGTTTTACTTTCTCATCATTTAATAGTTTTCCTTTAGAGAATGGCCACTGTTCCCTCCTAGAGCTTCAAAGTGAATTTCAAAAGGGAGCCAAACAATTCCTTTGGCCCAACAATTCTGCTAGGAATTTAGCCAACAAAAATACTCACACATGTGCATAAAGAATGTGCTCCAGGCACACTGGCCTCTTCACTGTTCCTTGAACACAACAGGCACACTCCTACCTTAGAGCATTCACTCGAGCGTGCCCTCTACTCAAAATGTCCTCAGTTGTCTGCACAGCTCACTCTCCCCTCCTTCAAGCCTGTGCTCAAATGCTGCCTTATCAAGGAGGCCTCCCCTGACCATCTTATTTAAACTTGTAACCTGTCCCCACCTCCACATCCTGAGATCTATCATTCTGCTTTGCTTTTTTCCCATAGCACTTATCTTGTAACCCAGCGGTCCCTAACCTTTTTGGCACCAGGGACCAGTGCTACTATGATAATCTAATGCCTGATAATCTGAGGTGGAGCTAAGGTGGTGAGGCTAGTGCTGGGGAGCAGATGCAAACACCGATGAAGCTTTGCTTGCTCACCCATCGTTCACTTCCTGTTGTGTGGCCTGGTTCTTAATACTGGTCCATGGCCCAGGGGTTAGGGACCCCTGTTGTACCCATTTCTTTTACTATATAATTTATTCATTTAGTGTGCCTATGGTTCATTGTCTGTCTCCTCACTTAGAACTGTAAACTCTACAAGAGCAGAGATCTATTTTGCTCAGTGATATATCCTAAATACACTGAAAAGTCATGAGCCAAGAAACGATGTTTTGGTCAAAGAGGGACTGCAAATGATGGTGGTCCCATAAGGTTTGTGGTGATGCTGATGTAAACACTCTACTGCTGCCAGTCACATAAAAGTATATATAGTACATACAGACACAATAGTAAGCTATACCATCTAGGTTTGTGCAAATATATTCTATGATCCCACAACAAAGAACTCACCTAACCTTGCATTTGGCACAGGGCCATATTTGTTAATTGAGTACTCCAAGTACTCCTTGCAGTACTGAAAACAGATTGGGAATGACCTAATGCCTATCCACAGTGGGCTAATTAGTAAATCACAGCACTAGCACCCAGGTAGAAAAAAGACTGCAGTAGAGGGATATGGAATGATCTCCAAAATAAATACCGCAGCAGAAGAGTATGTTCCGCAGACTGCCATTTGAATGAAAAGGGAGGTATCACGTGTGTGGATGTAAACAGTATTTCTGGAAGGATGTAAACTGAGGCCTGGAATAGGAGGAAAGCTTACTTTACGATATAAACATGTGCCAGTGTTATACTCAGTGGTTAAGAAATCGCTTAAAAATAGAGAAAAGTGAGGCAGGAAGGAAAAGAGGAGGGAGAAAAATAAAAACAAAGCAGAGGGGAACCAGGGATCATTTGTACAGCTGCTTCCCATCGTCCCCAAGCTCTGCACCGCTCCCAGATGGGAGGGGGTCTGTTCGTGAATAAAGTTCCAGCAGGAGTTCAGACAGGGAGTATCTGACTATCTTAAGCACTTCACTACAGGAAAGGGTAGGAAGAGCTGCAACACACCCCCGATTATTTAGTGTGGGGCTGACTGTGAGAAACACAGGACGACAGGGTCAGGACTGAACCAGGCTTTGGGAACGTGAAGAACAGTCACCCCAGGATGACACGAGGGCGTGCAAACATGGCAGGAGGGGAGCTTGAGCACCCAGCCGCGGGCCTGAAGGAGGGGACTAGAA